GTGTCTCTGGTCTCACTTCCCGTCTGTGTGTGTCTCTGGTCTCACTTCCCGTCTGTGTGTGTCTCTGGTCTCACTTCCCGTCTGTGTGTGTCTCTAACAGGAAGTCCTTCTGCTATCGCCGGCTGCAGTATCTGAGCTCCAAGTTTCAGATGCACATTCTGCTGAATGAGATGAAGGAGCTGGCAGCACAGAAGAAGGTCCCACACCGAGACTTCTACAACATCCGCAAGGTCTGCTACCCAGAGTGACTTCCTGCACTTTCTTTTCCAGGATTTTTTTTCCTACTTCTGTCGTGAAATATAATGGGCAAGTCTGGAGATGAATAACATGGTTAATGCTGCCACCTAGTGGCCACCCAGTATTTGCTTCCACTGTTCCTGTATCATAAGCTATTTCCACATCAGGAAAACAACATGTGAGTACCAGCAGTGTTTCTGTCTCCCCCTTCAGGTGGACACTCACATCCACGCTTCCTCCTGCATGAACCAGAAGCACCTCCTTCGGTTCATCAAGCGAGCTATGAAAAAGAGCCTGGGTGAGATTGTGCACATGGCGAAGGGCAAGGGCCAGACTCTCTCTGAGGTGTTCGAGAGCATGAACCTCACGGCCTTCGACTTGAGCGTCGACACCCTGGATGTTCATGCCGTAAGCGCTCAGCCATAGGCTTTCTAACCCATCTTTGTTTTGCCAGTTACATTACAGAACATTATAGCAAGGTGGAAAAAACATTACATTAACAAACACACAAAAATCAAAGGAAAACACAGAATTGTTTTGCCTGTCGCTCCAAATCATCCACAAATGCCTGCACCTCTGATGCTTTAAATGACCTTAAATGGAAAAAGACCCTTTTTAGTCTGATAAAAGCTGAATGACTCATCCTGCTTTCAGCTGTTGTCATGAAGAAGGGAGACAGAGGGACATAAACAGTGATGATGTGGGAAGATGAGTCAGAAGACATGCTGACATGTTCGTGTTTTTCTGACACGCAATAGATAAGCGTGCCCACATGGATTAATGGAGTGCCGATTTAACCGTTAACCAGGAGAATGTCTTCACGAATTTTCACGATGCCTCCTGCTACCGTCTCTCTCCCCACAGGACCGAAACACCTTCCATCGCTTTGACAAGTTCAACGCAAAGTACAACCCCATCGGGGAATCTATCCTGCGTGAGATCTTCATCAAAACAGATAATTATATTGAGGGCAAATACTTTGGACACATCATTAAGGTGCGCCTCTCTTCCTGCTGACAGGAGCTGTGACAGTCACATCAAATTCAAGTTTTTAAGCACATAAAATTCTACTTTATTAGGGGTAAACATATGATATTGGATAAAAGTTAGGCTGTGTTATGTCATTGCTTCTCCTTTTAAAGCCAGTACAGCTACACTGAACTGTAAATTTCATTTCGCTTCTAATTTCATTTTTAATTTGTAGTAAGTATCTCTTAGAAAGTTTATGAACCCTTTGGAATTTTCTATATTTCTACATGAATATAACCTAAAATGTGATCAGATTTCCATATAAGTCCTAAAACTAGATAAAAAGAAAAGTCCTGAAACTATATAAAGAGAATGCAGTGAAACAAGCACAGTATACAAATTCCTTTATATATTTAGGAAAATGTCACATGTTTAGGTTTGTAACATAACTAGGTTTCAGAGAGAAATTTAGGTTTAGGAGACAGCAGTGATGCATTTTAGGTAGGAGCAGCATGTGTTTCAGGGGACTTCACCCTGATTGGTCACATGTGATCACATGTCAGGAGGTGATGGCTGACTTGGAGGAGAGCAAGTACCAGAATGCGGAGCTGAGGCTGTCAGTGTATGGGCGCTCGCGTGACGAGTGGGACAGCCTGGCACACTGGGCTGTCCGTCACGGCGTCTACTCTGACAACGTGCGCTGGCTCATCCAGGTGCCCCGCCTCTTGTGAGTCCTGCTTTCGCTGTGTCCTCTGGCCCAGACTCCTCCCTGGGGGGACCACATTCTTGTGGGGTTGTGAGGGCTCTGAAAGTAGCTATGTAACACGTGTAGTAATTCTTCTTCCCTGATCAGACGTTGGATGCATTGAGAATGCTGTGATGGAAACACGGAAGGGTATACTCAGGAGAATACAGGGATCAAGGACACAGGGAATAAATTTTCTTGGAGTAAAAGGTTTACTTTTTATTATTAAGTTAGTGTTGCTTCCACATGACCATGTTAGTTTGGATGTATGTTATGATTTTTTCCCTCTCAGTTGGCAGAATGTTATTTAGCGGATAACAGACACGTGACTGATAATCATGGGAATCGTTTGGGTCTTTTATTGGCCTTTGTGTAGCTGCTGGACTCACTGGACTCCTGTTTACTTAATACAGCAAGTTTCATTTTCACTTTAAAATAAAGTTTCATTGTTGTGCTTGTTCATGATGAGCAGGTGTGACACATTGTGCAGGGTGATGTGCAGAAGTTATCTAAGAAGAGTTTTTCTTCACGGACATATCATGATGTATCCTGTGCTTAATTCTAGGATCAGGGTGTCAAATTTTAAAATTGTACAATTTTCATTTTAAAGCCAAATTCATCTTTGATGTTTGACTTTGCTGTTTGTTATTCCTCATCCACCACACTAAAGAAGCCACATTCCAGGTGGAGGTGAAGAGGGCTGATAAACGTGTTTCTCTCCGGACAGTGATGTCTACCACTCTAAGAAACAGCTGGCCAACTTCCAAGAGATGCTGGAGAACATCTTCCTTCCGCTCTTTGAGGCTACCATCGACCCCCGCAGCCACCCTGAGCTCCACCTCTTTCTCCAGCATGTGAGTATGACCTGCTCAAGGTTGAATAATGTGCATGCAAGTCACAGGACTAGCGAAAGGTCACGGGAACATAAGACCGGCCTACGGCACCCAAAGCCTGCTGACATCCAGCTGACTGCAGTACTGATCGTTAGGGCTGTATTGAGAGCCGCTCTGAACAGAGATGGTCTGCCTTCCACCAAATGCATACTGTACTGTTTGTTTTGCAGTATTTTAAGCTTGAGAGATTTTTTAAGGAGCCTTGTAGGTAGGTGGCCAATAAGGATTGTATTACGAGGTGACCTCACCATATCACAGAAGTAAGGCCTGGAATTCCAACAAGGTGTTCCAGGCACATTAAAAAAGAACGATTTTTGTGGTGAGAGGTTAATAAATCTCTGGGGCAGTTCCTGAGTATCACAGCATTTGCCGATTGTGCGAGTGTGTGTGTGTGTGTGTCTACATTGTGGTTAATATGCACGTGTGTGTCTGCATACTCAGGTGGTTGGCTTTGACAGCGTGGATGATGAGTCCAAGCCAGAACAGCACATCTTCAACCTGGACAGCCGCCTGCCAGGCAACTGGACGGAGGAGGACAACCCACCCTACTCCTACTATCTCTACTACATGTACGCCAACATGACTGTGCTCAACCATCTGCGCAGGTACGGCAGCTGCACAATGGCCCCTACATCTCCCTGCTCATTCTCGGCAGACTGGGCCGAGAAACACTGAGCTCAGTGTATAGGTGCAGTTCCACGTTTGTACACGGGAGCTATTCGTTTGAACTTCTGTGTATTTTATTGTCTTCTTTTTTGTGCTGTTTGTTTGTTTTTTATCTGTATTTTTGCATGCTTCACTTCTTCCTGTAAAGCACATTAAATAAGCTCTGCCTATGACAATGTGGGGTATAATAAAATTTGCCTTGCCTATTAATAACAAGGCTGGGCTCTAGAGAGCAAGAATAGCCTGTTTCTGGAAAGATTGCCTTGTTAGTTGGTGATAATTAAGATGGGCAGTTTAAATTTGACCCAGAAGACAGGTTCCACAGGACGGAAACCGGATATCAGGACTTTTACATACTTAGTAATGCTTAGCAATAGGGACTGTAGGCCTTGCAGGCGTGTATAAAGGCGACTGAGCGCTACATCTGCGTCTCATGGTAACCTTAGTCAGTGGCATTTTCTGGATTCTTAGTGGACTGATTCATCATACTAGGTTTAAATAAGTCTTAACATATTTCCTCTCTGATAATATAATATCATCTATAGTATTTTCATGGAGAAAACGCATCTATTGTGTGTGTTCATATAGTGGTAAAGGTGCTGATTTGTTACACAAGGTATAATTTGGTCTTTGTTTTATTAGATAATAATGTGGACAGCCATTTTCTGCTATGCATAAATTATATTTAAATCAGTATCACATGTGTAGGACAGCCCGTAAAATGTTTCTTGTACTACTTCAAGCTGGTCCTTGACCATGTGTTTCAAACTGACCATCATGCTGTGCAGGAGGCGGGGCTTTGACACATTTGTGCTCCGCCCACACTGTGGAGAGGCGGGGCCTATCCACCACCTGGTGTCAGGTTTCATGCTGTCAGAGAACATCTCCCATGGGCTGCTGCTCAGAAAGGTGAGACTTGCCAGTCTGCTAAGCCACTGTGTCTTAACCCAGTCCCAGTGGAGGGAACACTGCGCTAGGTAGACAGGTCTCCAGAGGGTTCACAGGACTGGGTGCAGGAACACTGCGCTAGGTAGACAGGTCCCCAGAGGGTTCACAGGACTGGGTGGGGGATCACTGCGCTAGGTAGACAGGTCCCCAGAGGCTTCACAGGACTGGGTGGAGGATCACTGCGCTAGGTAGACAGGTCCCCAGAGGGTTCACAGGACCGGGTGGGGGATCACTGCGCTAGGTAGACAGGTCCCCAGAGGGTTCACAGGACTGGGTGGGGGATCACTGCGCTAGGTAGACAGGTGCAATTACATGTATATACAACAGAGCTGTGTGTTTACATGAGTTATTTTTAGCAATTTGAAACATCTTTAGGTCAATGATAATGGTATGATTTTTCAACAGATATTAATGTGACAGCCAATGGGATAATTGGAAATCAAAAGATAAAAATAGAAAATCATAGAATAGTAAAAGTGTGAGTATTAGACTGATTAATTGGATGGAAAGAATGATACTCTAGTAAAATGGAAGGGTTTTCATACAACATCTAAATGGCATAATGTGAAGCTGTAGGCAACAGTTATTTTTTTTTCCAGAAGTTACTCATCATTGTGTTTGCAGGCAGTAAAGCAGACGTTTGCTACCCAGTAACTTGGAAGCATCGCCCTGTGTCACAGAAGGCTCCACCCTGCACTCATGTTCTCGTCTGTAACCGGGTCTCCCCCCCCTCCCCAGGCACCTGTGCTCCAGTACCTGTACTATCTGGCTCAGGTTGCCATCGCCATGTCCCCCCTCAGCAACAACAGCCTGTTCCTTAGCTACCACCGCAACCCCCTCCCTGAGTACCTGTCCCGTGGCCTCATCGTCTCGCTGTCGACCGACGACCCCCTGCAGTTCCACTTCACCAAGGTGAGTGACACCTGTGACCTGAGCTGCTCCAGGTGGCACATGCAGGGGCAGCGTAAACGGGGGGAGGGGGCGGGTTGATTCCGAGGGCCCCTGAGCGTTGGTCAGCAGCACGTTGGTCAGCAGCCCTTATCTGCAGATTGCTCACTACTTTCCTACATGTAATAGCTTAGCATGTGTAAATAGCACATAAAAAATTTTGACTGAAGGTGTTTATGACTAAATGTACCTTCCTAGCAAGAACAGCTGGTGCTGCATCTTTTGGAAGAGATCATGACCCAAGCTGCTTTCCTTGAAGTGTCAGGGTGAATTAGGGCCACTGCTTTCGAACGTCCACTAAGCAGCAATAATAAAATCATTAAAACTACACTGTCATTTCTCTGCCTGTGGTCCAGGAGCCCCTGATGGAGGAGTACAGCATCGCTGCCCAGGTGTGGAAGCTGAGCTCCTGCGATATGTGTGAGCTGGCCAGGAACAGCGTGCTGATGAGCGGCTTCTCCCACCGGGTAGGCAGCCTTACAGCCCAGAACCAGCTGGCTGAAAATCAGTGTGGATTATTCGCTATAAACATACAGCAACGGGGACTCTGGGTGGGGTGTAGAGTCTCTACGGGGACTCCGGGTGGGGTGTAGAGTCTCTACGGGGACTCTGGGTGGGGTGTAGAGTCTCTACGGGGACTCCGGGTGGGGTGTAGAGTCTCTGCAGAGATTCTGCGCGGGGTGTAGTGTCTCTACGGGGACTCTGGGTGGGGTGTAGAGTCTCTACGGGGACTCTGGGCAGGGTGTAGAGTCTCTACGGGGACTCTGGGCGGGGTGTAGAGTCTATACGGGGACTCCGGGTCGAGGTGTAGAGTCTCTGCAGAGATTCTGCGCGGGGTGTAGAGTCTCTACGGGGACTTCGGGCGAGGTGTAGGGTCTCTACGGAGACTCCGGTCGGGGTGTAGAGTCTCTACGGGGACTCCGGGCGAGGTGTAGGGTCTCTGCAGAGATTCTGGGCGGGGTGTAGTGTCTCTACGGGGACTCTGGGCGGGGTGTAGAGCCTCTACGGGGACTCTGGGCGGGGTGTAGGGTCTCTACGGGGACTCCGGGCTGGGTGTAGAGTCTCTACGGGGATTCTGGCCGGGATGTAGGGTCTCTACGGGGACTCCGGGCAGGGTGTAGGGTCTCTACGGGGATTCTGGGCGGGGTGTAGAGCCTCTACGGGGACTCCGGGCTGGGTGTAGAGTCTCTACGGGGACTCCGGGCAGGATGTAGAGTCTCTACGGGGACTCCGGGCGGGGTGTAGAGTCCCTACAGTGACTCCAGATAAAGCAAGTGCTCCACAAGTAACTTTAAACAAAATATCATCCCACCCCATGGACAGGTGAAGAGCCATTGGCTGGGGCCCAACTACACGAAAGAGGGCCAGGAGGGCAACGACATCAGGCGCAGTAATGTGCCAGACATCCGCGTGGCGTACCGCTCCGAGACTCTGTGCGAGGAGCTGCAGCTCATCACCCAGGCAGTCTGCTCCGAGGAGCTGGAGTCCATCGAGGAGGAGGACAACCTGTCCATGGCTGCCGTCTCGGGGTCCTGCTAAGCCCCAGGCGAGGAGCCTTCGCTCTCTCTCACGTGTCTGTAACCTGCTAAAGGGTCAGCGTGGGACGGATTTCTTGGTGCTCTGTGTATGGGTACATGCATATGTGTTTCCACAATTGGGAGGGGCGGGGTACATAAACTCAGAATGCGATTCTGATAGCCAATGGGCAGCCAGCGTTCTGTGGCTCTGAGCACACATACACAGAAATTTTTCTGGGAGCCCTCTTCCATGTAGTGTTGGGATGCCGACTGTAGTGTTACTGTAACGTTCTGTGAGTGTTAAGAGACAGGCAGCCATCCGCACTCCGCCGTCTGAGCGGCCTGGACAGAGCCTCCCGGCAGGGCAGTGTGGCGCCAATCTGCCTCCCGTCGCGGGGCCTTCTGTCTGCAGTCGCTTCAGCCAGTTACTGTACCTTCCCATTCTTACCCATTCCAGGGTCACCGTGCTGTTTGCCTTTAATCCCAAATTCATTAAGCCCCCATCTTACTCCCATGCCATAGATAAAATTAACAACTAACTGTCCTTCATGGGCAATGGACAATTTAAACTCCCCCTGATAGGCTTATGGTGTGAAATCCACATTTCTTAAGGGCACTCCTTATTACGATATAAAAATGGTCAGAGTGGAAGCCATTATTGATTTAATGGCTGTTTTTACTGCACTGTTGACAATATGGAGATGTACAGTAGTAGATTCAGGAAGGTTCAGTGGGGCAAACAGGGGTTTTTTTTAAGCATGTGATCTCCTCTATGACCGCATTTTGTAATCTGCCTCCTCGAGGCCTTCATCCCAAAGAATTATGGGAAACTTATTCATATGATGCCAACTAGACAATAATCGTGTAGCTCAGTACAAAGAAGTACATACTTTGACAGCCTATTGAGCTCAAACAGTATTTAATAATAAAACAAAAGGTGTATTTTTGTAAAATAGCCATAACAGTTATATTTGGATCTATATAAATATAGGTGACCTTAGTGACTTTTGTTACCCACTGTTATTAGTTTAGTCCTCTGCATGTCTTACCAATAATGCTAAAACCGTGTTGATTCTGATGTTTATCATATGACATTTGTGTGGCTGTTATTGGTAGCTGAGTTTCTTGATGATCTCTACCCATATATGTGGGAGCCTATGAATGGGTTATTATTGTATTTTAGTTTTTAAGTGTTTCCATTTTGCCTAGAAGTTCCTGCGATGCAGACAATAGGAGTTCATCTGTTCATGCTTAAAGTGATTTTAAAATTAGGCTAACAACATCCAGCTTATATGAAGATGGTGGGACATCACCTATCAGTGGCATTACATTGAGTCACAGAGCCACCATCAGTGAATGTGGTAACTGGTAACTGGCCGCATCTCCAGTGCTCAATCCATTTCTCATTTGCTGGTAAAACACACACATGTAAAAAAAAAAAAATTACTAGATTTTTTAAAACAGCCATTTATCAGTGAGGATGGATATAGCTAATGTTACTATTGTATTTTTGGACATAAATATCATCAAGTCTGCCAATCAAATATTTTTTTGGGTAAAGAGCTTCCAGAATCAAGTAAACGTGGCTGAAAATAAATTCATTAATCATGTAGAAGTCTTTATAATTCGGTGTTATATGGGTGATGCTATTTTGGTCCCTGGGAGGATCTCATCTGTTGTTAGATTAAATTTACAGCCAAATAACACACTCACCCAGGCCAGGAAGCCACTGTTACAACTGTACTAAAACAAAACGAGGGAACTCTGCTTTTGAACCTCTTTGCGTCATCAACTATTACACTAAATTGTTGACAGATTGTGTCAAAGTTGTGTTTTTTTTCTCTTATAGGCGATTTTTGATTATCATTGCGTTCTGACGTTTTTTTTCCAAGGATTTGCAGCCTGTGTCATTTCTGTTGTCACTCTGGTTTTGCTGTATGAGTAAAAATTTCTGGCTGCACTGTTTCTGTGTTGCATGGCTGGTATATTTAAAAAATAAAATACGTACATTCATTCAGAAGTAATGTATGGTGTACTGAGAATGAATGACGGTCGTAGTGAATCAACGCGGTTTTTATAAACTGTATAAATGTGTAGAGAAACGTGCGGGAACTGAACCAAACGGATAAAAAATTATTCCATCTCAAGAGTAATTTACATTGACCTGCAGGTCAGTTGCACACCTGGAACAACTTAAGAGCTGAAAGCCTCACGGTCGCGAATCCGCGGTACGTGAAGTCAAAACATTCTCATTGCAAGAACCAAGATAATAATGGTCTCTTTTATCCAATAAGATTGCGTTTGATCGCGGTTCGCTCACCGAGGTTGTTCGTGATTGGCTGATAAACTTCCATCCTGAATGCCTGCTTCACTATTCTACGAGGAAGATCGAACCAGTCTGTATTCGGAGCACGGAGGAAGAAGCTGGTTTGTAAAACAGGACCATGGCGATGAAACTGGCTTACTGGGATATCAGGGGGGTAAGAAAGCTTGCACTAATCCGAGAACAAAATCTTAGTTGCGCTTGATGTGTTTAGCCACTGTTGGTGAGTTATAAGCTAGTTCGATAGCTTTATTTAAACGACGGGGTAAAGTATGGTCGGAGAGGTTGAGTATATGCCAGCTGACAAGAGCAAATAAACACGCATATAACTTAAGTTAGTATAGGAACTACAGATAAAGCTTACCTTCACGAGTAAATTACATATTTATTTGTTTAATTATTAATATTTATGTATTCACCGAAATACACTATTTAAGTGCTTTGCTGAATGCTTCTAAGCATGGCGCCACCATTTCCAAGTGCCTATAACATTCTGCATATGCTTCATGTAGTTCGATAGTGGCACCAGACCCAAAGCCCTACAGGATAAAAGGCAGTGTTACTTTTGCAAGTCTGGGTAACAGACCTCTGTAGGTCTCTATAGGTGGGACTGGAGCGCGTGTCGGCCTGGGGTGGTGGGTGCAGCACCTCGCTGCACTAGTGCATGCTCACCAAAAGAACCTGCTGATCTCTTATCTCGATTTTTTTCTTGCGATCTCGAAAAGATAGTTATCTCGAGATAACAAGGTAATTTTCTTGTGATCTCGAGATAAAAGTAGATAACTTTAAAAGTAGATAACTGTGGCGCGGAAAACAAACGTCATGATGTCGGGATAACGTTTGTTATGTCGAAATCCATAAGAGAAATAAAGCTCTCTGGACTTCCGTTTTGTAGCATGTTTCACGATTGCTTCTCCTTATAATAAATGGAAAAAAAAAATAAATTAGCATTTGTATGGATGCATTCCTTCCATCCATTCAATTCAATTTTATTTATATAGCGCATTATCACAACATTACATTGTCTCAATGCGCTTTACATTTCTGCCACGTAAGGACCGCCCATTGAGTAAGCCAAAGGCAACGGTGGCAAGGAAAAACTCCCTAAGAGGAAGAAACCTTGGGAGGAACCAGACCCAAAGGGGGAGCCCATCCTCCAGGGGCCGGCAGATGAGGCAAACAAAACAAGATGATATGACTAAGCTAATACAGAAGGGGTGAGGGAGGAAGTAAGAAAAATAGTGTATTAGCTAGAGTTGAGGAAACCAGAGGCAATGCAAGCAAAACGATAGAGTGCAATATTCGTCTAGGCTCCGGCAGATCTGGGTATAGCAGCATGAGAATTTTCACTCCATTTTCTGTATGTAACCGCTTGTCCAATTCAGGGTTGTGGGGGGTCTAGAGGCTATGGACACAAGGCAGGGAACAACCCAGGATGAGATGCCAACCCATCAAAGGGCATACTCACACTTACACACACTCACAAACACACACACACACACACACACACACACTCACTGATCGACCTCAGCATTTTTTGGACTATGGGGTGACTCCAGAGTACCCAGTGAAAAACCCCACGATGACACTGGGAGAACATGCGAACTTCACACACATGGAGACTTGACTTGGGTCCCAGAGGTGTAAGGCAGTAGTACTAAATACTGCAATACTGGATGCGTAACATGGCATGAAATTATAATATTTCTGAAAGTTTATTTGAACAAAATAAAGGATGGACACATGAAGCTTTGCAGATACTTAATGCCCGGGCTGAGTGTTTTTGGAATATGTGGAGAGGGACATCTGTATACTTAATATAACAGCAATAAGTTATATCATGGCTATACCAACAGCTCGCCCAGCCGATTCGCCTGCTGCTGGAGTACACCGGCACGAAATACGAAGAAAAACTGTACTCCTGTGGTGAAGGTAAGGAATTTATGGTGATTTATAAAAAAAAAAAAAAAACTTGCCTGATATGTTATTGGGCAAATCCGGCGTTGTGACTTAAATTGGCAAACCAAAAGCCTCCGAGCAGGAACAAGCTTTGTGCCAATGAGCTTATCTTATCTAAAAGATTGGTTTGGGTTGAATATAGACAAATCCTCCAAATTCACATGTTATATGTGAGAAATCCATAAGTTTTATCAGCATTGTGGATGTCAGGGCTCCAGATGGTGACTAAAATGGTCACCAGTGTGACTAGATTTTTAATTTTGCAACTAGTTTTTTTCCTAAACGTTTCCTTTTTTGTCTGGAGCCCTGGATGTGACACAAAACGGACCTTTACATGGAATTGCCCTGGTACTCTGAAACCATCTATATCATTATTGAAATGGAACATTAAATGGCTTCATCCCTTTCTGGTATTGTCATCTAAGGTCTGGGTCTTCTGCTGCTGTAGAGTTGCAGTGTTCCTCTGTAAGGGTTTAAGGGTCCAACAGGTAATAGAAATGAAAAGCTCAAGATTTACACACAGGTCATAAAGGTTAAAATCACTTGTAGTACAAGCTGGAACATTTTCCTCATTTGCTGCTTTGTTTGGCTTTCTGGGACCATAAATGTATCAGTGTTTATTTGTCTATCAGTGCCATGGACTTCATAAACTTTAGAAGCTTTCCAACCATGTCGTCTTCGGCCTGTTGCCACTGACTGCGGGTTTGGTTGCACTACAAATTTTGCCAAATTCTATGCATCTGCTGAACATTTGAGTTTGGCTGCTTTGGAAGGTTATGCTTTAATTAGAAGATCTGACTGCTAAGTGAACCTCACAATCTATTGTACTCTGCATTCCTTAGCCCCTGATTACGATAAAAGCTGCTGGTTCGATGAAAAAGAGAAGCTTGGAATGTACTTTCCCAATGTGAGTAACTTGCCAGCATTTGTTTATTCAGGTTAGAGCCCTGTGATGCTGCTGTGGTCATGTGATTTCCCCTCCTGTCTAATTTCTTCAGCTGCCCTATCTTGAGGATGGTGACAGGAAGATTGTCCAAAGTAACGCCATCCTGCGGTACATCGCACGCAAACACAACATGTGTGAGTTATATAGCTGGGGATATTCAAGCAACATGCCCATCTGCAATATGTTATAGTAGAACAGTTGTACTCTACCATATGAATCAGAAATGTATTGTCTGTGGTATAATAATAATAATTAGAACCAACTTTTTAATTTCTATGGATGGGTAGATAGATATACACACACACACCATCTCGACAGCCCTGATTACAAGATGACCCCCACTTTCCATCCATCCATTTTCTTTACCCACTTGTCCTGTTCAGGGTCACAGGGGGGGGTTTACAGGCACAAGGCAGGGAACAAACCAGGGATGCGGGCACGATCGCACACCAGTCGCTCGCACACCAGTCGCTCGCACATGCACAGCTACAGGCAGTTTGGTAACTCAAATTAGCCTCAGCATGTTTTTGGACTGTGGGGGGAAACCAGAGAACCCAGAGGAAACCCCACAATGACACTGGGAGAACATGAACTCCACACACAGGGAGTCATGGTGGAGACTGGAACCCAGGTGTGAGGCAACAGTGCTAATCACTGCCCCCCGCCCCCACTCTTTCAGCAACGGTTTATGGAAAAAAGCTTTTGGAATCCAAGATCGTACCAGATCGTATCTGTTCAAAGAGAAATAATTTTATTTGACGAGTATATTAAGTTACCCATGTCACTGTTAAGACGCAACACAGGCAATTGCATTACAGTGTGTATTAAACAGCAAACTTTCCAATAAACAAGTGTTGTGTGGAGAAAAGCAGCAAAATATATATCTTATCATATAAATTGATTGTTTTTTGTGGGTTACATGCAAGTTGAAAGATTTAAAACCATGTTATGTAGATTTTGTTACTGATTTTTGACTAACCTATTTGGGCCTGTTCTTCCATGCAGGTGGGGAGACGGAGGATGAGAAGATCCAGGTGGACATTTTGGAGAACCAGGCAATGGACTTTCGCAATGGTTTCGTCATGATGTGCTACACTGACTTTGTGAGTCCTGGCCAGGATAATGTGGGGGGGGGGGCACAGGCAGATTTCTATAGCCTGACCTTCAGGCTGTTCATAGGGAACTTCAGTGCTTGTCTGATGTGGCTGTACGATAACGTAAGTGTGTTTGTTTCATTATGGAGTACAGGGCTTCATGTTTGTGTAGCCGGCTCCTGCTGGATTCTGGATCTTACCCAGAACGTATCTTGCCTTGTGCCTCGTGGGAGAGACTCTAACTCTGTGCCTGATCGCGCAGTTGTCTCTTACAAACTCAGTTCAATGCTGTAATTCAGGCAGTGTAACTCTGGGTTTTGCCTTGTTTTGTGACACCATGCTGTTTACCACTTGTCTGTGAATCGTGCGTGACCTATGGATGCCTTTTCTCCCCGCTTGTAGGACAATATAAAGCCTGGTTACGTGCAGAAGCTACCTGGCCTGCTGAAACCGTTTTCTGACTTCCTGGGAGACAGGAAGTGGTTTGCTGGTGATAAGGTAATAGTGCCAGGCTACAATTTGAAACTCTGGGTAGTGTGGATTGTTGTGTGAATGCCGTCGTCGAGAGCGTGTGTATTCTTTGTCATTCTTTGGGGTAATGACTTGCTGTTCAGTGTTTGATTGCACTACTACAGTATTTGCTACATTGGTCACAGTATCTTGGGTCTCTCATGGTAAAGTGTGGCCTGATAATTGCTTGGCTGTGCTCCGTCCTGTTCCCTGGCCCAGTGTACATGGCTGGCCACTTGTGACCTACTTTATTTCAAGTCAGTGGAGCACAGGCACTGTTCCAGGTGCCAGACAGTAGCCTGCTTTGTTCCTCTGCATCCACTGCCTGTATGCAGGCGCCCAGACTCAGAAAATAGCCGTGTGCTTATGTAAGCAAGTCCTGGTTTTTTTCCCTCCTGTAGAGAAGTCTACAGACATGTTTGTAGAGCTTTCCATGAGTGATGAGGAAGGAACAGGAGATTAATGTTCTGTGAAATGCTGTCACTTCATTGCTGCACTGCTTACTTCTGTGAAGTTAGTCACTCAGCAGTTGTGACCTTGGCCCGTGTGACCTTGGCCCATGCTTACTCGCAGTGTCTTGCTTATAAGTTGTCATCCAGGCCATTGTCTGTTGTGTGCACTGCTTCTCCTGTTTTGTGTAGATCACCTTTGTGGACTTCATCATGTACGAGCTACTGGACCAGCATCGCATGTTTGAACCCAAGTGTCTGGAAGATTTCAAGTCCCTGAGCGATTTCCTGGACAGGTTTGAGGTGAGAACCCCCCCCCCCCCCCCACCCTTCCTTCAGATGCCCCTCGGACAGAGACCCTCTGGCTCTTTTGATATCATTTTAATAAAATGGGAGAAACAACAATTTTCTATATTTGCTGTTATTTACTGTGACTAGAATCGTATGGCTTCTGCTTGGGGATGAATCCTGAACCGTTTCATGTCTGGTTCTCTAATGGCTGTGTCAGATTTTAGGCCACAAATATCGCCAAAGATTTTTTTGCTTCATCTCGGATACTATGTCCACCATTGGGGCGAGTTAAGTGTTCTCCAAAACACAGTATTTTCAGGGCCAAAGGGTTGAAGCCTCATAAGGTCACATGTTTTAGGTTGAAGCAGCATACGATGTGAGTTGTTGGTTTAGAGGTGCATTATGTAGCATATAGGTGTTTCTTTAGATTATAGAAACAGCCTTTTGTAATATCCATAACCTGTCCTGGTCAGACTCGTGTATTTATTTTTCAAGTGATTTAATTGCCTGAAGCCTGTTGTTTCACGATCAGTTTAAAATATTGAGGTAGTTTTTTGTTGCGGTCTTTTCCATCACTTGCATGTGGATGTCATACCTCCCAGGGGCTGGAGAAGATCGCGGCCTACATGAAGTCCAAAACTTTCATGAAGACCCCAGTGAACAACAAGATGGCCAAGTGGGGGAACAAGAAGGAGTAAAACCAGTACAACGGGAACGTGGTCCCCCAATTGCCCTCCGTATTGTAACACTCTGTCTGTTAACAGCAAATACAGACACATACATGTACTAATGCAGCTTGTGATGTAACAGCACTGAAAGGTACAGCAGTATTATTACTAGATTGAATTTACATAAAACGGCTAAATGTGGTCAGTCTGCTAAGGAAGATGAACACTGATCATTCTGTGTGCGGGGGGGGGGGGTGGATGAAAGAACGCGTCTGCAGAAAGTCAGGTGTGTGGTCCTTTGTTCTCTTTAATCAAATTCTATGGATTACACCCCAAGAAATCGGATTGTAATGGATTCTCCTGCTTTGTAACATGGTTTTACAGCACTTATGGAACAGGCTTTTTTTTTCCCTCTAGCCTCAAGTTACTTAATTGTTGTTGTGAAAAGTGATATATGGTTCTACAGAGCTTCTTCTGTAATTTTTAGTTAATTATACAGCTGTGTAATGGTTTCAGAGAATTAAGTTCAATGCAATAAAATCTTTTCTGTGAAGACTAACCACACATAGCCTTTGAGCAAATTACATTAGGCTTTTATTTATTGTTACAGGTGAGTTGTGGTGGTATTTCAGGTGTAGTCAAAATATCCCTTCTCTCTGACACTTTATTGTAAGTTCAGGTATACAGAACATTACTTGCACTTTGGGTTATAAGTTGTGACTGTTTCTAGCAAGTTACTCAAAAGCAACGATCCTGAGATGATGCAGCTGTTCTCCCTTATCTGAAGCCTGGAACCGAGCTTGTGATGCAGACTGAATGTAGCATGTGTTTACAGTGATAGGCACATATATAGCTTTAAATTGAAGTCCAGGAGGTGTGGTTTATGAAGATAGAGGAAGGCTGTGCTGCACCTTCACCAAGATAAGTTTTCAGGACTTTGCACCCCAGTAATATTTCCCTGTGTTAAAGTGCACTTTAGAGAGAGAGCACACAAGAGTTTCAGCTCTGTCAGAATTTCAGTTATTGGGAAAATAGCTTAATAGGGATAATATGTGGGTTCTTTGATAAAACCAGAATGTTAAAAAGCTGGTATAAAACATTTTAAAGCCTATTTGATTGTTCAGGTGTAGCTAAGTAATAGGAATACTCCTGAGAGATGGTCTGCTGTATGTTTGGGGTGGGGGCTGCCCCTAGGTGCACTGCTCGGCACCTTGGCATAGAAGAGGCTCTATATTAGGTTGTCAGACGTCTTTGTGGGAAAATACTAGACTCTTCTCCCACACTCCCCCCTGTGAGCACCACACAGCCTCCAGCAATTTTTAAACTAGCTGATGGCGTCAAATCGGTTTTCCAGTGCTAGTCAAAAACCCTCTCTGCTTCTACAAAGTCCCGTGTTCATGACACACCAGAAAGGCATAGCGAGAGTCGCTGTAGATGGTCACCACCAGTCCTCTGCAGTCTGTGCAGACCACCTCCTAGGCAACAAACAAACAGCATTAAACCTGTGAGACAGTATAGTAAATGGAGTGTATTGCTACAGATGCCCTGTAGGTGGCAATAGAGGCTTTGTTAATATGGTTAACTATGTATGCAGCTGACAAAACATTGTGATGTTTATGGTGTGTGGTATTCAGTAAAGGGGGCAAGGTCTACTAGGCTGTCCGTGTGTCCTTATTACGGAAAGGACACGTCAGAGATCTGGGCAGAGCTTTGAGGTGACCCTAATCACCTCTAAACAGCAGTGCTGTTATCTGTTGCCTTCTATAGCTTGGGTTTAGTGTCAAGTACCTTTTGAGAGTGACATCTACCAATGTCAACAACACATTCTGATAGTGTCAACTGTGCCAAGGTCAGAGGAGACGTCCTAACCTGTGTTTCGAACACATTACCAGATCTTTACCAATAGAGGGTGCATCTGTACCAGATCTGCACTCGAAATCACAGCTTCAGCTGTTATGCTCATAGGTATTAGCCATCACATCTAGCTGCTTACAATAATGTGTGACAGGTCTAATAATAATTTTCACTTTATTAATTCTCGTGGGGAAATTGTCTTTTACGCCCCCCTCAAGCTGTCTGCGAAGGGCAGCCACAGACATGCTGAGGCTGGGTTTGAACCAGCAACCTTGTGATTACAAGCACACTGAGCCACACGCTGCCCCATGACCTGTACATCTGAACCTCCCCAGTCTGGCTGAGTAAGGACAGACTTCATCATCCACAAAAATGCACAAGAGTCTTACTGTAGTCTGGAAAACCTAAGACAGGAGCCATAAATAGTGCTCCCTACAAGGTGGCACACCACCGCCTGCCCGTAAGTGCTTCAGTAGACCCCGGAGGCGTCCAGGTCCATCTCTTCCCCAGGAAGGTGAAAGCGGACCAGTACTGCAAGTCCAGATGCACAGACACTAAAAAGAAAGCATTTGCCAAATCAATCTCTGAAACCCATTTAGCTTACATAGGAATTGAAGTGAGAATTGTGGCGGGGTTTGGGACAATGGGTGCCCTTGGGTGAATTGCACCACCGACCCCCTTAGGTCCTGCACAAACCTCCAAGTGCTATTATCCTTTTTCATGTGCAGAATGGCTGAGGTAATGGTATAGCAGGAAGTGTCCATTACTGTGCCCTTGGAAAGCAGGTTTGCACGGATTCCCCTGCTGCTCTCGTCGGCCTGTGGAGACAGGGGTACTGCATCTCGTCAGGTCAGATTTTGGCCCATGAAGTCTCAGGTATCTCCCTTTAACACTCAGGCCTGAGACTCTCCTGTTGCCCTATTGTTCCTCTTCAACTCTACTTTTCCTGAATCCATAGGTGTCAATAATGAACTGGTCCCCCCTTTGCGGCTGTAACAGTTGCCATTCTTCTTTGGAGTTTATGGAGTGTGTCTGTGGGAATTTTTACCCAACCATATCTTTTTGGACCCTGTTTTCTGCTCTGGGGCACAACCGTGCTGGAACAGAAAAGGACCTTCCCCAAACTCTTCCCACAAAGTTGGAAGCATGGAATTGTCCAAGATGCCTTGATATGCATACCAGCTCTATGTTGATAGGTATGGATTTAGAATGGGACGTCATAAAAGGTCCTGTGGGTGTAATGGCCAGGTGTCCCAATACTTTTATCCATATGCTGTACTTCTGAACCTCCCCACAGGAGGTTCTTACCCAGTCTGCTCTCTTCACATGTTCCTTTACTCATGGACCTATGATGGTTGTCACCTGTCAGCTTCCATGAGGCGTATAGATCCCTTATCAGTTCACAAAATATCCCTAACGCCAGAGCCTCCAGACACCTGGTGATCTTCTATTGTGATGGTCATCCCTGCTGATCCCATTACATCCATCGCTAGCAGATTACAGGGACAGCGGCACGAGACCAGGAAGGAGGGTAAAACACGATTTGGATTTTCCCCATTCCTCACAAGTAATGATATAGACTCGTCTAGCAACATGGGAGGTGGGACTGGCCATTGGTCCTGATCTCCATCCTGTCTGTCCTTCAGCGCTCTGTCTGTCCACAGGTCGTGCGTGTGAGAGGCGGGGGCCCCTGGCCCAGTGCCCACACTGCTTGCCCTTCACACAGTTCCATCCTCAGGTCCTCCCCGTTGGCCTCGTCCGTAGGTGACTCCGTCACCAGTGGCTGTCACTGTGGAGGCTCTCCAAGGGATGCCCACTGAGCATTCATGAGCTTTACCTTCCGCTCCTTCCCTTTCTACAGGTCATCCTCTGCTTTCATGCTTCCTCTGGCAGCACCTGGCCGCTCAGGTCCCGCCTGGGGCTGGGCACCTCCGTCTTCATCGTCTTCCCCGTTGTATGGCAGCACAGAGGGAGCAGATGGGTAAAGAAGAATCTCCTCTTTCATCCCTTTCCTTCTGGTGGCAGGTTCCTCCTTCAGAGCTTCTCCTTTAAGTTCTACTGTAAGTATGTTTCTCTGTCTCAGCCCTTCCTGACTCACACTTCCTCTTGACTTTTCACCCTGTTGTTTGTACATTTCCTGGCCTCCCCAGACCCCTCACCGTAACATCTGCATGTTTTCTGCCCTTATTCAGACCCCCGCCATGACATTACTCCTCCACCCATAGTATTTGTTCAGCCTGTATGCTGTAGCACCTCCACACACCCCCCCCCCCCCATTTCCTCTCTTGAATCCTGCAGACAGTCTCTTCCACAACTGCCCCAGTCGACTTACTCCATTTTTTCCACTCTTTCTTCTATTTTCTAACGATCTTAGTCAGGGACATGCCTAGGATGGGCTATTGGGTTGAAGCCCAGGATATTTTCTTCGTAGCCCCTAACCTGTCATATCGGCTGTAAGTTATATTCCCTTTTGAATGGTAAGGCCATGGCATAGCTTAACATTACCATCACATAGTTCTGATGAGTTTGACCGTCTCTCCCTGGGCCACCCAGCGTGTGTTGTTCTCTGCTAACCCCATGGAGAGAGAAAATGGTACAATATCAAAGTGTAAAATACACATGCAAGCAGCTCCTCTCATGACTGGTCAGGGAAAAAGGCCCAAGCAGTCTGGCTTCTATTAAATGCCCATGTGCCTCCCAAACGCACAATCTTATTAAATAGGCCACATTTGAACCCTGGAGTCTGCAGCCGCATTTGTGGTTAGGCAACAGAAAACAGCAACGTAAGCATATAATAATGAGGTGACTTTTAAACTGTTGTCTTAATATGCTAAAAGATTATTGCTTTATACCTTTTTATGTACATTCCCTGCCTGAAAAGCTTTAGGTTGAGGAACTTGGTCTGTAAATCGAAAGTCTGATTTCAAAATGAAAGACCCACTATGGTGAAAAGACGTAAACTGGATTACCGTAAACTGAGGAATCATGGTATCATATATTTCGCTTTTAACCATTTATAAAACTGTAGCAGTTCAGTATAAGTTCCTTGCACAAATGTACCACTGTTGAGCCCCTTTCAGATTTAAACATTCAATATTTAAATTCACATCCTCATCCACTGCCTGCTAATATGAGGAAATCCTAGTGCACATTTTAAATTTGCTTTACAAACATTTATAAATTATCATTATGAACAGAATCCCAACTATTAGATAAAATACAATGATTTTATACTAGCACTGTGCTAAGATCTAGGAATTATAGTTCATTAAATATTAGTGTTATGCATTATTGCTGAAATCACACTTCTCTAGCAGGAAAGAATTCATCAATAATGCAGCATGCCAGAATGTAATATATCCATCTCCCTACCACATACCCAGTATAGCATTCTCTGGAACTTATCAAAGACACAGCACAGAGCACTTTGAATTGACTACAGGACACATACACAAGGCAATTCGGTGACACCAGCTCACCCATTGCGGGGGTGGGAATCAAACCTCAAACACCGAAAGTGTGAGGTGTCGGTGCTGCCCCGTGAGGCACATTACATTTTGGATATTCGAAATTACATTATGGATATCTAAAATGGTGGTATACTTTCAGATATCTGAAATTAAAATTATGACTAGCAACAATTGGATTGTAGATATGAGATGGGAGTTTTTCCTAGTAAGAATTCAGCTGCAGATATCCAGAATGAACATTATGGATATCTGAAATATTATTGTGGATATCTGAAATTAAAAGCCCAATAGACATGAATGGCAAAAGTGACGTAATTTCTCCTAGGAAGAATGACGATGTAGATATCTGAAATGACACTTGTGGATAGGAAGAATATCATTGTGGATATCTGGAATGCTCTTTTTGACTAGGAAGCATTGAATTAGAGATATCTGCAATACATATCCAGTCTAGCGATTAAATGTTAAAACGGTTTGCCATAGGCTGCAGGGGTGGAGTATAAACTGACTGCAGCCAAGTCGGACAACTTCTACTCCTCGTTGTCTGCGAGATCTGACTGCAATGGCCGCACTGCCAGAAGGGTGTAGATAAATCTATACAAATATCACCTGCATGCACATCAAATTTACAATAACCAACTCCAGAACCAAACAGTTAGCAGTGACAAAAATAAACTGTTGTGCATAGTGGCCCTGTGTAAAAAGATAGCGGCCAGGAAAAAGATCAAATACATTTATTTATTTAAAGGATTCAAAGTTTTTATTGCCATGTACAGAGTACAATGCAATTCGTACTTGAATGTCTTCTTCAGACTAGCAGCGCAACATTACAGTAACTAACAATAAATAAACAACTACCTCACGTGTACTATTAGAGCATTTATGTAATTTATTTAAACTTTATTTTACCAGGTAAATTAACTGAAAACCAGTTCTCACTGCTTTACGTGATATTCGGGAGAAATAGCAGATACCGCATATGATTTTTGTGGGATGGAAACAGAATCTATTATTCATTTCTTTTTTAAATGCATCTATACAAGTATGTTTTGGATAGATTTATCTAATTTTATTAGCAGGAAAATTGGAAGGAAAGTGACCATTGAAATGTTTGACGTTTTTATTTATTTTAAAAATGAGGTGTTAAGAGCAGACATTATGTGATTCAGTTATTTATTGCGTAGGGAAAATTCCGCATTCATAAGAAAAAAGTTTTAAGATCTACACCCAACTTTTTCAATTTTTTTTAAATGAAATTAAGTAGTATGGCACAACTTTAGTTAAGTGTAAAAACAAGAAAGCTGTAAAAACTTGTAAAATTGTGGAAGAATTTGGTTTTCATGGGTAATTCTTTCTCTCTCTCTTTGTTACTGTTGTATGTATTGCATGACAGTTCCTTTGTTGATATGTTGTAATATTGTTCATTATTAATAATAATAATTTAAAAATCTAATAAAAAAAAAATAACCATGATGCATTGCGTCAGGACCAGAACGCATTGCTTTAAGCCAGCGCTGTGAGCTGCTGCATGAAGTCGAAACCACCTAATGTCTGAACTGGCAGAAACAGAACATGAATAATGTTCATAGCTCACTGACAGAAGCCAATCAGAAACACATCAATGCGTAAATCTGTGCAGTAGCGACCAATCAGCGTTTCGCAAATGTCACGGGGCGTGGTTATCTCCGAAACATTATGGGGAGTCCTCAAATGATACATTAGATTTTCGGGTCATACGACATTCTCACGTTCATTTGAAAATTTTGCTAGTTTTTACACTTGATAAAATTATTTTTATAAGTGTAACGCAACGAAACATTTTATGCTTTATGCAAATCCGGCGGGTTGGAGCAGCCTACCATATGAAATCGGCTCTGCCTCTCCGTCCCTTAAAGGACCGGCAGAGTGTTTCCTCATGTCGTCAGCAGACGCCGTGAAGCGGTATGGAGGTCTAGGGCTGCGGGCTGTGTCGCTGGACCCGGTTGCGCAGTAAAAAAAAGAAAGAAGAATAAAGATCAAAAAAGAAAATGTCCCGCCGGCTACGCTGCTGTCTTCTGGTGATATTCTTACCGATAGCGCTCTGTTTGGATTTCCAAGAGCGCTCAACGTATCACGGCGGCACACAGACTGGAGCAGCGGCGATTCGGACTTGGGAGATCGGCCGCGCAGTCGGCGAGCGGTCCGGCGTGGAGGAGCTACATGCATCACCACGCCACCAAGTTCGCGAAAGGAGCATCGCAGGGGATGGGGACCGAGAGCGGGACGCATGCAAAGCCCTTCGTGGTTATGAAGCCGTGTTAGCCAACAATACCCACAATGTAAGTGCGCACCGGTTACGGTACTGTGTGTTTTGCACCGGCATCGGGTGACTGTGTAACTTAATAGTCTGCACCGGGATGCCGTCATCGAAGTTTTTGCATGGAAATCTCACCAGTGATCGGCATGAAGGGAATTTAATTAAATAACTACAAAGTTATTGGCGACTGCTTCTCTGTTCAGAGGCTGTGCACGAAAATTAAATCTCTGTTGCGCTCCTTAGCATAGACACGGGGCCATGAAAAGGCTTAAGGATGCAAGCTTTGAGTATCACTATTTTTATTTTTTACTTATCCTGTGTTGGCTCCTCTATGTTCCAGACGCACTTTTCTGGGCAAGGAAACGTTTGATTTCCTCTCTTAATTAACTTTAGTAATTAAAGTGCTCACATTATCAGAATTTCTGTGTTAGATATATTACTTGTTTAAGAAAATAAGTGAGACTGGAAATTAGTGTAATCTCTGTGGTTTTACTGATGGCAGACATTCGGATATTGCCTGCCTAGTAGGGGGCACCGATATTTAATTAGATCGTTAACTGGATGTTCTAAAATATTTGTTGAGCTTAGGAAGAAAATGTATTCAGTTGAGTTGAAAATCGCAATTACATGGAAACATTTAATTAAATGATCGCCGTCGCGTCTCTGCATTTTGACGTATTTCAGTGTCCACGGATGCAGAAAATTAAAATCGGGCTATTGTGTCCATGACTATCGCTGAAATGCGTTTGTTGTAATTCGGCTTAGTCTGTTCGCTGTACAGGAGCATGCATTCCTGTGAAACTGAAACGTTCAGCGATCATAAACAGTGGCACAAAGTGGCAGCCGAGAATCTCATTTTCAGGTGTAAGGCTGCTAATCTGTAAACAATCACTTGATCACTCGGCATTGCTGCAATTTACGTGCAGTTCTATTTTCCTTGCAGTCAGTTTGTGTAGCTAAATATAGGCGTTTTTTTCCTTAAAACTTTTATGTACTGTCAGTCAAATGAAGGAAGACATGGGTAGTCCGCAAAATTTGTTTGTGAATGTCAGACCGAGTGGTCTGATGAAAGTTCACTACTCTTATTTACAAATATTGTATTTGCGCCTAATGTGCATCTAGTACGTCAAACAAAATTCTATGAATACGGTCATAAAATCCAAATTAATTTTTTTGCTAGAGGGAAGCATGCCTTAGTTTTGTGATAGTTTAGTTGTTCTACTTGACTTCAAAAGCAAGGATCCTGGATCTGCTGAGCTTAGTGGGTGAGTTTGAGACTGACAGTCCTACAGGGGGCTGCCTAGGCCCAGCTTCTCGGGGGGGCTTGCCGGTTTGGCTTTGCCTGGGATGGGGTGCGCCGGCACGGATGCTCATCTTGGCCGCTACATCGGCTAGCACCGCTATCCATGTCATTGCTGCATATGCGTTGTTGCTAGCTGAGAAGGGTAGTGATGATGCGATGGTGTTGAACAAAAGCCTCCTTGCAACCTAATGATAATTTATTATGACAGAAAGACTGTGTACACACGTCTGTGACAGCCATATTGTGTGTTCCTGCTGAAGCTCACTTTTCATTGAGCAGAATTTCCTTAGTCGAGGCACCACGTGCTGTCATTCTCAGACATTGTGTGTGAAGTCAGTAGGGCTCTGCTCCTGGCTTGTATGTGACATACTCTTTGCGAGTAACTTACTCATGGTTCTCTCATCCATTCATCCATCCTTCCATCCATCCATCGGCCAGCCACTTGCCAAGCGCAGGTTCACCGGGAGCGTGCCTCAGGCTAACATACCAGTGCGTATGCCTCAGTGCTGGCTGTCTGTGTGCCTGATGAGAATCTGTGGCTGATTCTCCGCAAGGTGAGCACCGTACTGACATCGGCGCGGAGCTGCTGGAGCCACAGATCACGTCTGTTTACTGCATTACACACCGTCTGAGTTCAGGCCTTCCTGGCTTGTCATGGGACCTAAACACAAAGAGCTGCTTGTTAATAAACATGCTAATGCCTGCGAATTCTCTGAGTTACATGGCGAGTCCGTCTGCAAGATGCAAGTATGTGTAAGATCAGGTTAAATGCACAATGTCTGCATGCTTGTCTGCTCGTCACCCTGTCCAAGTCACACTGAGTCTCCTCTTGTCTTATGAGCGGTTACAAATAGTCTCTTTAATTTTCCATCTGAATTGGCTCAGAATTAATAAAATGCTGAATAGTTAGCAGATGAACCTGAAGACTGCAGCTCCCCAGGCCTGATTTAATGGTTAAATGTTCAGCTTGTTGTATAAATTGTATGTAGTGAGATGTTTGGTGTAGGGCTGCAACAACTAATCGATTTAATCGATTAAA